GTTTAAGTAGGAGAAATTTTTATCATAGAGTTTAGAAAGCCATGCTATTACGATTTAATTTCGTTTAATGATTTTCTAACATATCTAATAAATGCCACAGTAATGAGTAAACGTTAGTCTTTGTTATGATTTTAAATCAAACTGCGTAGCACATTATTATGACTAAATTTTGAGCATTTAGCATAAATTATATACACAGAATGCACCAAGATGTTATATCACGCTGTTAATTTAATTAGTTCACGATTCTTTGGTAAATGAAATTTCTGTATTTTATACCCTGAAGAACGCTACGCCTTAAACATCTTGCCCCCCCCCTCCGAATGAGAAGCACTAGGGAAATATAGAAGACGTGGAATTGAAATTTTACATCGTCAGTTTACTAATCGCGTCTTCGGTAAGCTGTTTGTTTCCTTGACATATCCGAGCATTTACAAGACAGTCTGATTACAAAAAACTACTCGGGCGTAGTCTGTGAAGAAGCCTGGTCGGGAATTTGCAATTTCCATAACAAAAGCGGTCTTTCTTCGCCTTTAGACGGACCCGATGAGCTTTCCTTGTGGGCTGATTTTGTAGTTCGAGTAAATAACAGTTAAAAGGCGCTATCTGGATCAGAGAAGTTCTTGAGGGAGATGCAGCTGCCTTTCCCCCTTCTTAAGCATACATACACACACACATACACACATGTATATATTTTTGTTTATTTGAAAGAAAAAAGAGAGTTCCGGTATTGTATAAGTAATTTTGTTTATATCCGGTACTATTGTGACACGCCTAAGATAATTTAAATGGGCAGTAAAAGAATGCAATCGTGAGTATTATGTTTTAAACAATTGATGAACTATAATGTCACGATCAGTGATGGATTAGTCACAGTATATTGCTTTCATTTTTTTTTTACGTTCGTTTTAACTGATTTCTGTATTTATCACAATAATACGTGAGGAAAGGTATGCAGTTAACAGAGGCTGTTCGCAGATTTTTTTTAAATGATTTTGCTTTTCTATAAAAAATTCGTCTGCGTGGAATTTTTCTTTTAACTTCAGTTACATTTTTCAAAGTATAAATTATCATCTGCCACTTTACAATTTTGTTTTGGCTTTAAAGAAGCAATGGCTGGAACGCTATGTCGGTGCTCTTTCCGAAGAAAATTATTCCTATCTAGTTATTAAGAAACACCGTGAAAGCGATGGTTTTTCGATAACTAAAACTACGATCGGTAATATTGCCAACAAGAAAGGAAGAAAACGTCAAAGTTTGGCTTCAGGTCGAGAAATTGTTCTAAATACAAAAACGGTTGTTGCAAAAGAAATTCTGCCGAGTCAGAGGACAGTTACAAAACCATTAAAATGCTCAGTGTCAACTGCAAACAAAGTAATTAATGCTGATTTGAATCTTAAAAAGCCGTAACAATATAATGTGCGTCGTCTTTGTCTGCGACATACCGCTGAACGCAGAATCCTTTATGAAAAAACATTGACCTCGGGCAGAAGTGGAAAAGTGTTATCACAGTAAATTAATCCTAGGTGTATTTAAATGACTGCAATAAAAAGAGGCCCATTTATTACCATCAAAGAGAAGAAAAAATATTAAAACATGGTTCAAAGAATCTAAAGAAAGTTTTCCAAAGCGATTTATGATTGTTGCTGGTTTCCCATATAACGGCAAATTAAAACTAAAGAAAGTGGAGAAAAATGTTAAGATCATTTCCGCATATTATCAAGAACACATTTTTTAACCAAATTTTCAAATACGAAATACCTTCTGTTTAGCCACAGTGCCATCAATCAATAGAACTACATCAAGACAAAGCCAGCAGCCACACGTCAAAATCCACTGTTAATTTCCTATGGAACAAGAAACAAGTATCTAGGCCAGGGATGGGCAAACGTTTTCGGTCGCGGGCCAAAATTCGGGAAAAAAAAAAGTTTGGCTGGCCAAGATAAATTTTTCTAAAATTTTAAAAACAATGTACAAGTATTACAATTTAAATATGTTAATGAGATGAATGAAATTGCGATTTCATTTTTAAAAGTTCCTTATAAGAGGTTCGAAGTGAGATGCACTGATTCTAAGGAACGAGGGTAAATGCTCATCTGTCAGTATAGTTCTGAAGTAATTATTTCTAAGGTTTATAGTTGAAAACACTTCTTCAGATATATAAGATGAAGTAAACATAGCACTGTTTTTCTGAGCGTGTGATATTAAATTTGGGAAACTTACTTTCGATAATGATTTGTAAAACTCTAACTTCGGCATATTTAGAAACAACTGCTTGGGATGATTTTTAGATTGCAACTCTGTTCATTCAAGCTGCAAATCTAACATCACTACTTCACAATTTTCGTTGAAAGGCATGGTAAAAATTTCTAATTCTGTTTGAATGGCACTGAAATCTTGAAATCTGCGTTCAAACTCAAAATGCAGTTTTTTTTTTTTTTTTTTTTTTTTTTTTTTTCCAAGCCATCTTCGTAATTCTTAAGCTTAGTTGAAGCATGCCGGTGTACCAACAACTGAGTTTTGTTTAACCTATGGTACGCAAAGCTGAATTCTCCTAGGAGACGGTCACAAAGGAATTTTAAATAGATTTTAAGTACCACTATTTTGAACTGTCTCATAAACAATCACAAGGATCTAATCTCTGCGGAGTAAGTAAAAGCGAAATCATTAAGCTTAATTTTATTTAATGGTGGCTATCATAATTGTAAAAAATTATCGTATGATTGTTAAACTGTAAGTAGCAGTAGATTCAACTTGTAGTTGCTACAGCCTACCTAAGTTTTGGTAATGAGTTCACCTTACCTATGTTTTGGTAATCAGTTTTATTTTATTTTCATTCTTATCTTATAAAGATTGAGTTAAAGCTGTATAAAGGGAAAAAATCGCATTAAATAGCTCGATTCGAGCTAGTAGCTTGGAAAAAGGATACGAAATACAAATTAAACTTGATTTAATGATCCTCATCTATAAAACCATGGAAAGGTGGTTCGGATCTTCCACAAAAGTAATATATGGGAAAGGAAATTAATTTAATATTACATCAATAATATAACTTATTTAAGTAAAAGATTTATTTATTGCAGAATAATGTAAAATAATCCGAGGGTTCCCTTCTAGAAGAGAATGTTTCGCTACTAAAACTCGTCAAACATTAATTTTTATTCATATTCGCAGAACATTCTTTTCTTGAAGAGTTAGTTAAACTTTTGGCGTAATATTAATTAATAATAAGTATTTAGATTGAGCTGCATTTTTTATATTATGTTATATTGCATATTAGGGCTATCTACACAATGGAAGGGATGCCTTCATGGAAGACTTTCCATAGGAAACTAGTTCGTATTTATTTTACACATGGCGGAAGACCACGAAAACGGTCTTGGAACCAGCCCTGTTCGCCGGGATAGTAACCCGGATCGGGCTATCAGTGTTCAGCGGTCTTACCTGCTTCTCCGCTAATGGCTGTAATATACATTAAAAAACTTTTTCATGGTAAATTCCGGTTTACAGAATTGTTTTATCTTTTTTATGAGTCTAACGTCTGCTTATTTATGCAATTGTCCATTTATCCAGATCCAGCCGTTATTAAACGGTAATTAAATGAAATGAGTATCAAATTACAGCATAGCACGAATATTTGATTTTCTCAGCCGCTTGATTTTTTTTATGAAAGCCGTAAAAACTTTCTGAGGTTATTTGAATATAGCCAAGCACACATGGGCTATCTATTCTGAGGTATGTTTTCGTGGTGCATTTTTAAAGGCAGATTAGCTCATATTTACATTACATATGAGAAAAACTCCAGAATCCAACCATGCAACCAACCCATCCGCCTGGGTTGGAACCCGACTTCGAACGACCAGTATCCAGTGGTCTTAAACACTCGGCCCCTGGAAGAGGGGCGAAAGTATTAGTTACATAAGAAACGATGTGTCCCAAAAATGAATATTACTATTCATTCTTCTTTGTTGCTGTATAATATTAAATTCACTTACTTGAAAAGTGCTTTCAAAGTGTGAATGTTAATAAGTAAAGTAATGAAGTCTTATACAGTACTTTAAATAATAAATTTTATAAGTCCTTTAGAATATTTGTAGTTGCCAAGCACTACCTTGCAATGTGTACAATGATTTCGATTGCTATATACAAATGTCTGTTAATCTCTTCTCCATAATATGTAATGCTGGTTAAATTGATGAAATCTTATTGTATCCGTAATCTTTTATTGAAAATAATTGCAGCTTTCTGGTTTATATGAGATAGCATTGGCCCATATCTGGATACTAGTGTAGTGATTTCAGTCTGTACGAATAAATTTTAATTCATCGGAATATCTCTTCGTGTAACTTGGAATCCCTTATTCTGAGTGCAGTTTCCGATGAAGAAAAAGAGCTTATTATGCATTTATACAGTATAAAAATTCTTATTTTGTAGTTAGCCTGATTATTTTTTCTGTAGCTAAACACTTTTATTATCAATTTTTTTTAACATTCTCCCTTTGTGTTTCAAAATACTTTAGGTAATTAAATGTCTCTTCATTATTTCTTTCAGCGTGGATCCTAATGCAAATTAAGAAGAAAACTGATGTAAATGTCATATAATTTCCTATCAATTTCCTATCAGATGGAGCTTACGATAAGAAAAAATAATTTCCTTACATAAATGGGAATAAAAAATAGATATAAATGAAGGAATTATTGTGTTTTTGCATCAATTACGATAATAATATGCTTCAAGCAAAATGTCTGCGATTTTTTATTTTATTTTTAAGTCTTGGACTGAGGGTAGAATTATGAATTGAAACTGAAAAAGAATCCATTGCAGTCTTTATTTATAAGATTAAAACTAAAAAAAAGAGGGTGTGGGACACAAGCGAAGTTTTAATATGGTCGCCTAGAGGAGTAATCATAGACATTCTTTGCCTTGAAACTGGTTATGATATTTCTGATACCTTTGTTTCCCTGTTTCACGGACTATTATATTTTTCTTCGTCATTGCAGAATGTTCGGCCAAGGATGGAGAAGAGGACTCTGGTGAAGAGGGCGCCGTCCTCCAAGCACTGTCCCGGATATGTCCCCCACTTCTGGAGGTGAGTGCCGTTCAATTTGTTTCGCCAAACTCTGCATTCATCTGTCCATTTACACGGAAAGAAATATATTAGATCATGTATGTGTTTAAACGTGGTTGAAAATTTCTTAGAGAATGGTCGTGCTGCGAGATTAATATGTCGCAGCACTTCAACCCACGCAAATGTGAGTGACAACATGCGATTGCGAGACACGTTAATAGCTGAGAATTGCGATCTAACTGATTTGTCGTTTTATGGAATAAAGTTATATAGTAAATTAATAGAAGAAAATAAGTCAAAAATTAAATAATTTTACTTTGAATATACAGCTTGAAATAAATAATTCATCATCCAACACCTCCATGTAACTAGTACTTAATCAAATATAGTGTGACATTTTCTTGCGACAGTTATAATCCTGAATGTAAAGCACTCATGTTTGATTTGGATTTGCATATTTATCAAATAGAGCTGTTACTTTTTTCTTGGGGGAGGGGTCTGACATACTTATTGAATAACTGTGGGTGGGAACATAGTTGGACCAAAAGTAATTGCAGTTACAATTCTACTATAATAAAAATAAAATTATATGACTGTATTGTATTTAAATTGTATAGTTAGTTACTTTGCGGTTCCAGTTACAATGTAATTAAGATAGTGTAATTATAATAACAGTATAAATGTAATTACAATATAATCCAAATTAAATCACACTACAAAGCTTACAATAGCTTTTTAATTAAAATAACAATGTAATTGTCTTATTGTATATAGAATTACATTATAATTCCAATTATAATTGTGTTAACTGTAATTGCATCATAATTGTAGCCACAATTTAATTATCATTTCAACTACATTGTAATTCATTTAGCAAAAACTTATATTACGATATATTATGATTGATTAACGCCTTCTTGTGAGATGGAAGTAGGAAGAATATTCGTTTTATGTTAGCGTTAATCAAATACTATAAGGTATTTCTCCCACCTCCTTAGCATGCCTTTGTGGTATAATGGCCAGCACAGTCGGAGCGTATTTAAAAGGTCCGAAGTTCCATTCCCGGCGAATGCATTGCTCATTTGTCATGTCTTCCCTCATCAAAATATCCTAATGTCTCTACAGTGGCGCCCCAACTAAAAAAATGTGGTGGATGATAAGTCTCCACCACCAGGATTTGGCGATTGAGTCCCCTAATCACCAGTCGCCCTTTAAAGAGAGTATGTAAGGTATTTCTCCCGCCTTCTTACCATGTCTTCGTGTAATGACCAGGACACTCGGCGCGTATTCGAGAGGTTCGAGTGCCAACGAAGGCATTGCTCATTTTTCATGTCTCCTGTTTCGAAATTACCTAATGTCTGTACCTACGCATACTGGCTAGTTTCCATTAAATAGAAATTAGTTAGTGTGTACTCTAATCAGAGACTGTCAAACGTTTTAGCAGATAGACTTGCTCAGTAGAGGCGTCAAATAGAAAATACTCGTAAAAAATATACTCTCCACCAAGAGGATTGCACTTCCCGTAGTGACAATGCGAAAGGTTTGTGTAGTTCTGTACTTGATGTATTATACAAATAGTACCAAAGGTTTTTTCCAGTTCTGTACATGTTGTATTACGCAAATTTTCAAGAGGTGCTTCATATAGACACCAAAACACGAAGTGTTAAGATAGGAAAGAATCGAGCAAGTTTTTGAAAAACTGAACTGTCAAAACAAAACTGTAGAAGCAAGGTAAAGATTGGAAGAACGTAATATTTAAAAAAACTAAATTAAATAAATTATAAACGTATCTCTGTGTTTCAGAATTTATGCCTGATCAGCCGAATATATAATCCGATGATATAAAAATTTTGGTTTTTAATGAAATTTTGAATTGTTCAATTATTAAAAATATCGCAGGAAAGATCTTATTAAAACGGGAACAAATTTCGTGTTTTCTTCTTCAATATAAAGTAAATTGAAATTCTGTAAATTGAAATCCGAGGGCCGTTGTAGTCGAAAAGACACTGGAAGTAGGCCTTTTTCGCTGATCTCAGAACAGAATAGTCTATAAAAATTGGTAGTGTACTAGATGATACAGATTTTCCTTAAATAGCGACTGGCAAAAAGATGTGACCTGTCAGTACCTGATTTTCACATACTTCTAGTGATACCATCAATTTCTCGTTAAGTTATTAGAAGCTTCTGTCTATTGCTGTATGTCTATTGCTTCTATCTACTGCTTACCAAATGTTATTATGTTCGCCAGATTTCGATAGCCAATATCTCTGTCTTGATTGAAGTTTAAACGATCTGTAAGTAATTAACTCTTGTAATAAACAAATAGTACAAAAAGAAGTTGTATGTATAAATACTAAGCACACACCCAAACATCATATATATGATCTATCTTTTAAGTTCTGACTCTTCCTTTTAATTTAACTATATATATACATATGTGTGTGTGTCTGTGTGTTTAGTATTTATACATTATAACCATAATAATATCATAATTTATACATAATAATCAATATACGTTGAAGAGTCCGTAGTTTTTTTTTTTTTTTTTTTTTTTTTTTTTTTTTTTTAAAGCAGGAGACGTAAAAAATGTGCAGTACCCTGGCCGGGACTCGAACCCTGGACCTCTGGAATATTCGTCGACTATGCTACCAGTTACACCCCAAAGGTATGCGGAAAGGAGGAGAAAATACCTTATATGATAATCCTTTTAAAGGGTAACTGGGGATTAGGGAATCCATTCGCGAAATCGTGGTGGTGACGAATTGTCGTCCACCAGCTTTTAGTTCGGGTGGCACCTCTAGAGTCATTAGGTCTTTTTTAATTATCATCATCATCATTATTATTATTATTATTATTTTTTAAAAGCAGATGTGAAACACGTGCAGTGCTCTCGCCGGAACTCGAGCACTGCACCTCTCGAATGCACGTCGAGTATGCTTCCAATTACATCACAAAGGCGTGCGGAACGGAGAGAGAAATTACCTTCTAACGTTTGCTTTCTAATTTATTTATTTTTCTTTTCTATCCCAGATATAGTAATATGTGCCTTTTCATTGCGTCATTTCAATATTAATCCCTATCATATGTTTCTTAAGCAGCGTTAATGGCGCATTTATTTGCATAATCGTAAAAGTGAAACCCGATGTGTGTTTTATCCAATAGTAAGGGAAAGACTAAAAATCTACGCCTAACACAGATTGTTGCTTCACTTTTATGATCAATATCGTATTCTCTTTTCGCTGATACTTCTGTCCTAATAGCATGTCATTTATCTTCTCTTCTTTTTCTGTCGCCTGCATTTGTATCAGACGTAAACCTATAGTTGCCAAATAGCGGGTGGGCTTATCTTAGGGCCTGTGTATACCTTTATTCACAGTTATGCAAAAGACTAGAGAGAATTTGTGAATATACACAACATCCTGTTGTTAGATGAAAGATCAATAAACAAACAAAACAAAAAAACAACAACAACAAAAAAAAAAAAAAAAAAAAAAAAAAAAAAAAAAAAAAAAAAGTCAGCTATATCATCCTCTTTTTTTCTTCTCTAATACTATACTAAATTTCTATTATTATATATATATAAATGTGCGCCGAACTTTATTATAATATTTCATAGTAAACTTCAATTCGTTTTAAATTCAAGTTCAAAATTCATAATAATGGAGGTAATAAAGTTGTGTCCGTTCTGGCATCTGTTGCACATGCATGCGTGACCACTGGAAATTCCGAACCATAGTTTACCATTCTGACAATTCAACTTCTCCAACCGCGACCGTCAACGCAATGGCAGGAATGAAAGGATTAGATAATTACGTATTTTGGGCTTATCGAATATGAAAGCTTTGTCCGATCGGGTCAAGCGCTGACGCCATTCCATTGTCCACATATGTGACCCGTCGTGTCGCAACGTCCGATTATTGAGTCACGCGAGCGACCGTGACACGTTCAGGGCGGAAAGAAATTGAGAGTTTTGAAGTTGTATAATCTGCCGCCGACACAACTTCATCTCGGCGGTGTTTAACCCGTCCGTTTTCAAATAAATGATCTGCTTCTGTCTATTTATTTATATATCTTGATTTCCTGTCAAGTTTAACAATCGAGTTTTTTAATTAGATTTATAACCTGTTTTGCTGAGTTTGATGTTTTTGGTACGCCTTTTCAGTGTCTTCTTTTGATATTACTGAACTAAATTTTATTCCAGAAATGCTGCAGAATTTCGATTATTGGATGTAATCCGTATTAGTAATGCTTCGGGTATCTAAATGCTGGGAAAGGACATAGATATTTCTGTATGCTAATACATATGAAAATATTTGATCAATTTATACAAGCATTGCATATCATTTCTTATCTTATTAAATTTAAATCAAGTTTTATGAGGTACTACATTAGAATCTGATTATAAGAGTTAATGCGCCTCGATAGTACTTCTGGTAATTGCATTCGGAAAGATGTTGCCATTTCTTGATAAAAATGCTAACGAAAGCAAAAATATATAGTCAATATATTTCATTTCTAAGCCTGTTCTGGTACCTTAGTGAATTAAATAATGTATAAAAATGAAAGTTTGATTACTCAGTCACGCAAATATCAGTTTATTCACTGACTCGAAATTTTGCCTTGTTAGCTAATTTCAGTATAATCCATAGGTTATCAGGCATCTCGAATTGTAATTTTGTTTCTGAGGGATGTCCAAAAAACTACCAGGGGTACTAGAAATGTTCATAAATTTTTAATACTGACAACAAATGTCACATGTTTTGCCCACTTATTGGGCCCACTACTGGTCAAGTGAATAAGAAGTTGAAACGAATAGTTCACTCCAAGCGCAGATCCCGGCAAATAGACATTTTTGTACTTTCTGGGTGTGTTACGTGAACACGAGCCAAACTCGATCACTCTAAGAATTTGATAGGAATCTCTCAACATTTTGGAGCCGTTTCTGGCATAATTTTTAGAAGTCTAGGAGAGAGTATATCAGGTGTGGTACATTTCTGGCCAGACATGCATGAAAAAATCAT